AGAGAGAGAGATAATATTTATTATTTTGTATATTCATTCTGTGTCGTGGGTGCATTTACAAACATACAATTGTGCATACACATCACACCCAGACCCGAAACGATTTCTGGATAACACAAGAGTTGTTACCTGCCAAAATTGAACCCGCCTCAAAAGCATTAACCATTACGACCTCACAGAAAACCGGTGTGATACAATCACAGCATTGAGTTTACAGGAGATCCCAATCCCTCCTAATCCCTAAATATCCAAATGCCTAATCCCCTAAAGTTCTTGCAACGCCTTTGTAACTCCTCTGTTGTTGCGCGTTTCCAAGGGCGCCACTGATTGCATACCATCATGTAATCCATATCAATATGTTTGTATATACTTGTTAGGTGAACAAATCATACCCTCTACTGTCAACGCGCGTCGAGGAGTCGGGCGAGCACGTCATACTCGGGACCGGCGAGCTCTACCTGGACTGCGTCATGCACGACCTGCGGAACATGTACTCCGAAATCGATATCAAAGGTAACATTGCAAATATAATAATGTGGTCATAGGGTTCAAAGTGCATTGAGTCCAACTATTCAATTTCACAACATAGCAATGTCACCACCCTTATCTCCGCACATTTATCTACATATTTCTGCATAGAGAAAGTCTGACTCGGTTACAAAGAGGATTTTAAATATTTATATAAGTTCATAGACTAACATAGTTAGAGTTATGATCAGAATGTCGTTGTTTTATACTGCATGATAATTCGAGCTTTATTTTTTATACAAGTAATGTTGTGTGTAAATAAATAAAACTGTGTCTGTACAGTGGCGGACCCGGTGGTATCATTCTGTGAGACGGTAGTGGAGACCTCATCGCTGAAGTGTTTCGCGGAGACTCCAAACAAGCGCAACAAGCTGACGATGATAGCGGAGCCCCTCGAGCGCGGCCTGGCCGAGGACATCGAGGCCGGCGCCGTCTGCGTCACCTGGGACCGCAAGCGGCTCGGAGAGTTCTTCCAGACCAAGTCAGTATTTGGGAACTAAGGGGTATATATACTACACTATGTTGGTTGTCACAGTCTATGGCTACGACTTTGCCCAACTATCTGAGTATCGCATTGAGGGTTGTCCACACGGAATAATATATTGGAGCTTTATCCGGATCGAAAAAGAAAGATAACAACTATTTCATTCTTACCAAAAAAATACGAACGGCTTTGCCGGAATTCAAATCAAGAGAACAAGTATAAATTAATAAATCATATTATTTTGCCGATCTCGCCAATAGAAATTATAGTAGCCTAATTTAAGGTTAATAGATACATCTTTGATATACTTTGTAAAAATCAATTTATTTACAGATACGACTGGGATTTACTAGCGGCGCGTTCTATCTGGGCGTTCGGCCCCGACTCGACAGGCCCAAACATTCTGGTCGACGACACCCTACCCTCTGAGGTTGACAAACATTTACTTTCCTCCGTCAAAGATAGCATCGTTCAAGGTAAGTTAATTAATAGTCTGAATATTTAAGTCTAGGAACAATATTCACTTTTTACATCAAACAGCATATATTGTTGTTTAGTTAATTTGTTGGCTAACAAATTCTTTAAAAAAATATAGCTATGCAACACCATTGATTGCCGTGCTGGCCCAGAGGTTGATGTTGAATGTGACTTTTTCTGAGTTATATGTACTTTCTATGATTATTTAGATGCAACTGGCATATAGTAAAGGAAAACTTCCCTTCCCTATCATTGATTATGCGGATGTCTGCTATTACGACCTGAATGCAGATCTACTTAACAAACTGGACCGCCTTCTGAATAACTGCATTCGATTCGTCTTCAACCTGCGCAAATACGACCATGTCTCTGCCTATCGATTGCAACTAAAGTGGTTGCCCATACGTCAGCGCAGGGAACAACGCGCGCTAACCACTTTATTCTCACTTCTCTGTTCCCCTACTTCTCCTAGTTATTTGGCCCCCTATTTTCAGTATGTAAGCGCCAACCATAGCAAATATCTTCGGTCCACAAATAATCGTCTCCTCCACTGTCCCTCGCACCGGACTGACTTTGTACATTATTCTTTTCCTGTCCAATCAATTTTGCTGTGGAATGCGTTGCCCACGGATATCAGGACGGCAACCAGTCGGCTATCTTTCAAATTCAAAGTTCGGAATTACTTGCTAAAGAAACTGACAGATTCCACTAATTAGTGTATTGTTGTTTTTGTTCTTGTATATATTCGTAATCTATTCTTCCCATATTTAATTATATTATTTATGTATTATTTATATGTTATATGTGTATTTGTAGATTAGATTTATTGTATTCATATATTATGTTTTGTATTATATGTAAATGTTGCCTTACATGCCTGTACTTTCATCAATACAATCATTGTGTGCTTGTTTAAAACCTATTATTAACACTTCTCTGCATCACCCTTGAGGTTGACTGGTAGAGAATGCCTTCGGGCATTAAGTCCGCCTTTGTATATATGATTTTGTATGTGCATAAAGTGTTAAATAAATAAATAAATAAATAAATAAAACTTCATGAGGAATCCCGGACTTATATTTTTTAATTATGTATTATAAGTTTCAAATCCCCAACCCCCATTGAAAAAGCGTGGTGATTGCTTAGTGGTGGCCTTCGCTTAGCAGTGACCTATGTGCACTGTCAAAGTTAGCAGAAAAGAATAAGAAATTCAAATTGTATTCAAAGGTCTAAGCTTCTAAAATTTATATTTATTGTTATTGTGATGATTATTTAAAAGATATTGTTTATGCTGTAAACATTTTGTTACAGGCTTCCAGTGGGGTACAAGAGAAGGACCTCTATGTGAAGAGCCCATCCGTAACGTCAAGTTCAAGATCCTGGACGCGGTCATAGCACAGGAGCCCCTACACAGAGGCGGCGGACAGATTATACCCACTGCAAGGAGGGTACGTGCCTTTAATACTATATTGTTGGTTAAAAACAAACAATAGATTTTTTCAAGTTGTTGCCTTGTCTTCTTATAAATTGTTAGCTTCCGCCCACAGCTTCTCACACTTATAAAAGTAATGTATTCCTGTATTTTAAAAACAGCAGCGTTCAAAGCGATAGCTTGACTCAAATAGCAAATCAATTATAATTTATAGCCTAAAGCAAACAGGAACTTTGTAGCTATCTTTCAGTAAAAGAGTTTGGGAAATCCGACCAGCTGTGGTTTCAAAGATTACCTGCTACACACAAACTTACAACCTTTAACTCCTTATAATATTAGTAAATATTAGTTCTAAGACTGTCTTACGATTCCCTAAAAGCCATTTCTTCGACTTTTAAATGTGTGTTTATGTATACAACTAAATTACAAGTGAGATGGTACACATTACATTGTATAAACTACGAAATGTAATTTAAACTCACTGCTTCTTCTAATTCAGGTGGCATACTCAGCTTTCTTGATGGCGACGCCTCGCCTGATGGAGCCCTATCTATTCGTAGAGGTGCAGGCGCCCGCCGACTGCGTGTCCGCCGTCTACACTGTCCTCGCTAAGAGAAGAGGTGAGCAGAAACTTAATATTTAAACTATGTATTTTGCCGGTTTTTATGTTTTTTAACAAAATCCAATGTGGATACTTTTTCTGAATGGTTCAGTGTTGCTGTCATGTTTTTTTAGAATATTGTGAGTACTATTTTTTCTCTTCTTTACACCATCTTTCTCAGCCTTAAGATTTTTTATTTATTTTATTCGCCAGTATTTTGATGTCATAATATTATTCTCCAAGTATTTACTCATTGTTTTTATCGACAGGTCACGTAACACAAGACGCGCCAGTTCCCGGATCCCCACTGTACACTATAAAGGCGTTCGTGCCGGCGATAGACTCGTTCGGGTTCGAGACAGACTTGCGCACACACACGCAGGGCCAGGCCTTCTGTCTACAGGTCTTCCACCACTGGCAGATCGTGCCTGGAGACCCGCTCGATAAGAGTATTGTTATTAGGTAAATAACATTTAAAACAATGTCTATATAAGGCCCTTTGCTCCTGGATGTACTGTTTTTTTGTAGCTGTGCTTGTTATTTTCGCAAATAAAAACTTTGTAATGTATACCTACCCGGAGAACCGCTTCTCTGAAACCCTTTTCTCGGTAAACACACTTAACCTTAAACCGACTATTTCCTAATTAACGTGATTTTATATCTATTTTTTCCCAGGCCTCTAGAACCACAGCCCGCCACACATTTGGCTCGAGAGTTCATGATCAAGACGCGACGTCGTAAGGGTCTCAGTGAAGATGTGTCTATCAATAAATTCTTCGACGACCCTATGTTGCTGGAGCTCGCGCGGCAAGACGTACAGTTAAATTAATTATAAATAAATATAAAAATTATAAATGTGTACTTATTTTCTTTTATTTATTTAACTCTTAGAGTATAAACATAATACTAAAGGGGCAGACTAAACTAACTACTAAGCATATCCTACGCTTTTTAATCTGTAAGAATTTGACACTCCTCGGCTTCGCCTCTCCCTGGTCGAGATGAGAAGTATGATTTATTAAAAAAAAAGTGTTTGTGTATTTTATAATTGATAAAGAGATCGACTACAAAGTGATAGCCTACATTCCTTCCTTCCTTAGGACACGCACATATTGTACGCACGTGTGACTGACTGTAGTGTAGCGCCCGCCCCTCTCATCAATCAAAACTTTAAGCGAAACAATTAATTTATTTTTGCAAATAAGCGATAAAACGGCACTTACACACGTCAAATCATATGTAAAAAACTATAATTATTTCATAGCGGACTACTCTGAGAAGAAATGCAGAAACAAACTTTGATGTCAGTCTCTTTTCAACTCCAGACAATGATTATCATGTATAATAAATATATAAATAACTTAATCCACATTAATTAATGTTCCATAAACCATTAAAATAAAACACAAACATATTTCAAGATGTAGATTTCAGAACGACTAGTCTTTAAATCTGTCATATTTCAATGTCATAATAACTGTCAAACTGTCAAGTCAACTGTTAAAAGCATGTTGCACACATGAACACAAATAATTTGAAGATATTTAATTATTTTGCAAGTAAATAGTGATATAACACAAATATAACCTTTAAAGTATCTTCTACACTCAATACATCAAAATGGCTCGTGGAAAAGATAAGAAAAAGTAAGTTTGGTTATAAACACGTCTGTTTATTATTTGTGGCGATATGTTCTAACATCGTGGTGTTTTAGGCGTAAGTTGGAGAAGAAGCAGGAAGGTGACGATGTACCTAAGAAGATCCCTCACACGTTGGAATCTCTGCGCGAGAAAGATGAAACGATGCTCGCTAATGTTGATGAAGAAGAGAAATTGGAGGTTAGAAACCGCAAATTGTGTTTATTGCACAATAAAATTGGATTTATTTGCTGACACATTATTAACCCAACATAAATTTATAAATTTCAGGCTCAAAAGGATATGGAATTGGATGAATTGTCATCATATTATGAAAATTCATATGAGCCAAAAGTACTGATTACATACTCAGATAACCCACACAACAAAACTAGGATATTTGGCAAAGAATTGTGTAGAATTATACCTAACTCCATATCTAGGTATAGGCAAAGGTAAGAATCTTGTATTTTTGACCTTTTGACTCCCATGGTTTGCTGAGTAAAGGTCCCATCTTTAACAGATAAAGTTTGACCATTAATCATGCATTGCATTGAGCAAGTGGATTTCGTGATTTCAAACTTTTGATGCAACGCAACAACAAACAAAAAGTTATTCACAATATCTCATTGCAATTATGAAAAAATCTGGTTATGATTTGAATTTTATACTTGCATGCTTATTAAAGCTTGCTTTTCTATGGAAGAGTATGTGTCATGAATTTGCCTTGGTAGTTTAATAATATTTGGAGATGTTGTCCATTTCATATAGGTATTATAAAAATATGAAAAAAAAAATGAACACTTAATTTTGGCATTTTTTATTTCAGATCTTCAGTCAAGCGAATAGTCCAGTCAGCAATCCGGGAGAGTGTGACAGATGTGATAATAGTGAATGAAAATCAGAAGCAGCCCAATGGCTTCCTGCTGATCCATCTGCCCAATGGACCAACTGCTCACTTTAGACTGTCCAGCTGCAAGATCACACCTGAGCTTAGAAAAGATTATAAAGAAATTACAACACATAGACCTGAGGTAAATCAACAAATAAAATCACACTTATTTTGTGCTACTATTATTATAAATGCAAAAGTTTGTATTTAGTATGGATCTGTGTTTCATTTGATATTAAAAGCACTGATTACATTTTGATAAATCTAACAAAGATAAATCTAAGCTTGGGATAACACTTGGGCTACTTTTCATTCATTCAGTTAAACGACAAAACTGCTGGCAGGAGCTATACCAACATGAATTTTAATCCAACTTTCGATTGTGTGTTATTCCACTTAAATCTCCTTTTGATTCTTAATATGTTTTAAAAATGAACAGCTTGAGGTCTGTTGTTTGTTCATACTTTTCTTGAAACATTGCAGACAGGGTAAAAGAAAGACCCGCGTCACTGGATTCTGTCGACCTGCGCTATATTTCAGCCGATCTTGAACTTGAAAATACTTAATCGGTACAATAATTCAACTAGTATTCAAGTGTATATTTTTTATCAATTGCTAGGTGATTCTGAACAACTTCAGCACACGGCTAGGTCTGACAGTGGGTCGCATGCTGGGCGCACTCTTCCACTACGAGCCCCAGTTCCGCGGCCGCCGCGCCGTCACCTTCCACAATCAACGAGACTACATATTCTTCAGACACCATAGGTGAGTTTGTATGACGTCCGTACTAGGTACTTTTACGAACGACCAAAATATTTCGAGCGCTCTGAAGCAGTTATAATAAAGGGTTTAACAATGTAAACTCAGTATTAGTATAATCTGGAATAAAATTATCGTGCGTATTTTAGGGCAGATTTGTACATAAGTACCCTTAAAAGTGGGTGAAAATTTTCGCAGTTCTCAAGACAGAAAACTAAAAATCGGAACACACCTCTATTTCTGACGAAACATACCTATTTTGTTAGACATCTTCCCCCATCCCCTAAAGTGAAACAAGCGCTCAATAATATAAGAATTCCATGCAGGAATTAAACACTATGAACTCGCAACAATGAGTTTTATTTTAAGGTTCGTAGGTTCAATACCAAATTAAATTAGCAAATATTATTCCTGTTCATCATAAAATTGCTAAATTTCCTCCAGGTACGAGTTCACTTCGGACGGCAGACGGGCAAAATTGCGCGAATTAGGACCTCGCTTCACATTGAAGCTGATCTCCCTGCAGCAAGGAACCTTTGACTCCAAGCGTGGCGACTACGAATGGATCATTGCCGGCAGGCGACACCAAATGGAAACTTCCAGAAGAAAGTTCTTCTTATAATAATTTTATTTTATGTGTAAAACGAATAAAGTATTTTGTAAGCAATTTTTTAGTCCTTATTGCGTCGACGCCGTTATTGCAACTTGGGTTTTTGACCTTCGGTCTGTCACAGACAGGCAACTAATAGGATGTTATATCTATGGAGCTTTGAGTTGGATTTTTGTTTGAATAGAGAAAATTATCAAATGAATTCAGTGTCAGACTCTTACGTGACTAAAACACGCATTTCGTTCTCCTCCTAAGCCGAGGCCGCGGTACCTTGTTTTGCATGTCCCGCAACTAGGGTTGCCAGACAGTAAGTTAAGAAGTCCGAGACAATTCTAAAAAAAAAAATGTCTTTGGCGTGGGTTCATATTTGACATTTGGATTTTTTTTCAAACCACCTCGTTACATCTTGCAGATATGAATTTGAGGAGCAATGTGTCTAAAAAAAGAAGTCAAGCCTTTGGCATTTTAATACAAATGTAAACATTCCCGCCCGTCCCGAATTCGCTCACCGGCAGCCGTTTTCATCCATTCAGGATTCATTGCTGACATATTTTCTAAAACAGTATGTCTTGAAAATACGGGACAATAAGCGCTTATTACTGGACACGAGACAAGAGGTAAAATTCCGGACTTCCCGGCGGTCTGGCAACCCAACTAAACGCGCGGTAGGCTTGGGTCTGACTCTAGCCTGGCGGTCAGCTACCCTTACTCGCTCGTTGAGGAGGATAGTTCCCTCATGTGATCCGTCTCATTATTTGGCATCACTGCTAGGAAACAGAGGAGGCGGCTTCCTAGTTCTTCTCGCTCCGTACCACATGGCCTTGGCAAGGCCATCAAGGCCCTTGACTAAAGACGGACGTAATAGGTGTCCGCCGCCGATCACTTCCTTGAAGACACGGCGATGCTTAGCCCAAGTAGGGCACTCCGCCTCTTACAATCACAACACCCGGATATTTGCTCCCGTTGGATCCCAAAAAGGTACCTCCCGAAACTTACGTGTCGAGAAAGCCTACGTACCTACGTCAGGCGGAAAGAAAACCTATATCCGTATCGTTCCTAATAAGTTTTGGAAAGATTTTTCATTCTGGAACATTTTCTAGTATTTCAGATTGTTTTTAATAGCTTCTCGGCTCCATTTAATCGTAGCGTAATGTTTTATAGCCTATTATAGCACTCAGGAACATTGTAGCTATTTATCAGTGAAAGAACTTTGGCCATCCGACCAGCGGTTCCAAAGATTACCCCTACAGACAAACTTACCTCTTTATAATATTAGTATAGGTTTCATTGGTCTGAGCTCTCGCCCCACCCCAACCATGGCGGGAGAAGTGATTTGATGATCATAATGTAAATATCATCATTACGATTGAAAAAAAATAATTGGGAAATGTAAAAATAAAAAGAGATTTTTTTATAATGATAAAATTTATTCATTGGTAAAAAATCAATTGTTTAAAAAATAAATTAGTCAGCTTTTGGCACATAATGGGTTGATGACCTGCAACAACGACAAAAAGAACTTTAGTTAACCCCTTCAACCTTAGTTTCTAGAAATAGAGGCTGATTGAAGAAATGAATGTTGTGCATCTATATAACCGAGGCGGCATCGTCGTGTCGTCCCCGGCAGTTTTGACCACAGCCATCTGTGTCTCAATTTACAGAATGCTACTTCATGGCACTGCATTCCCATAGGATGAGACAGGATAAACGATTCTTTCCTTTCCTTAATACATTAGTTATGTTAGGATTTTACAGAGTGTAGCACTTGGTATTTGTATTAGTGCACAAGTTTGCATCTCATACAAGATTTGAATAATATTTAGTTTTTGGCATTAAGATAGTATTTTTGATTTGGTTGATTCTGTATAATTACATATTACATAAACATTTTCTGTAATACACAATTCATTTTTATTGACTATTTAATGACAATAGTAATCAATTTAACCAATTGGCCCAATTTAACAAGATAAAAAAAATATTAAAACCCACCTGTTGAGTGTTTCTTCAATCCCTTTATCAATTGCCACTCATGCAATTTTATACCTAAAACAATAAAAAAAAATATATGTAACATTTCATTAATGATACCTATATAAAAACGTATTTTTTTGTATATAACTCAGACGCGTAAGGTGGTCAACATGATAGATTGGGTTCACTCTGGTGAGGGAGACCTGAAGGTCGGGTCATCATTGTTAATGAAAAAGATCTAGATGATATAACAATTATTATGTTTTCGGCTTACTCACGTAATAATTTGACGACATACTAGACTAGTTTCAAGCCATGCTAGAGGCCCGTATTCATGAGCAGCATTCCGCAACACGCGACGCGGCGTGAGTAAGCCGAAAACATCATAATTAATTTAGAATGTCTCACGAAAGTTACAATAAAGATATCACATTATATTTTTTTGTAAGATACTTAACCTTATGTAAAATTAATAAAACTTAATGTTTTGGCAACTGAGGAAATATTTACGTTATGTAGTTCTTTATACCCTGATGTTTGTGCTGTATCGTGTTTTTTTAGCCTATTACAGTAAATATAACGTTCAGTGTTTGTTAACTAACCTTTTTAAGATTCCTTGAGTTAATCCACTTTTCCTTGTTTCCTTTTAACAAGTGGTGGTGCATACACATTTCCTGAGAACAATATTAAATCTTCTTAATATACATGTACCACAAGTTTATCATTAATTGTAGAGATTATCGTAACTCAGACGCGTAAGGTGGTCAACATGATAGATTGGGTTCACTCTGGTGAGGGAGACCTGAAGGTCGGGTCATCATTGTAAGATAGATTATAAAAATGTTAATGTAACAAATATAAAACTTACTTTTTATTCCACTTTTTCCAATGCTCGCCCATTCTAGAATGACTCAGTGATCCAGTGCCTAGACAGAGAAATGGTTTTATAAGAACATTCTATATTAGATGAAAGATATTAAGTTTCAATAAGTAGTCAGTGAGGATAGTTATGATAACAGCATTATGTATCAGATGTCCCTATCTGAAATCATCATTTGAGTATAAATAAGAATTTTGGAGAAGCTAACATAAATTCAAATAAATGAAATACTACATTTAAGAACATGGTAGTGAAATTAATTACCTTATTATGATTTTTCTTTTTCAATGCTCCTTTTATTAAATCCACCGTCCCAGTTCTGTAAATAAATATTATTTTAGAATACTTGTATGTCATAATAAACTATGGATATTTACAGTTTCTGTGCATAACTCAGACGCGTAAGGTGGTCAACATGATAAATTGGGTTCACTCTGGTGAGGGAGACCTGAAGGTCGGGTCATCATTGTAAAAGTAATAACTAATAAGCAACATTAAGGTAAAACTACTTATAGCAGGAAAATTCTTTTAACAACACATACATCAGTCCAAAATATGAAATTCCAAACTTACCTCACACCACATCCATAACGTTTTTAGGTCCATATTTCACTGTAAGTAAGCTGATCCCTGAGAACAACAAACAAACTCTTGTAAGTATATTATGATAGGTTTTGTGAATATTTGCAAAATAGGGTTACGGTACAATAACTCAGACGCGTAAGGTGGTCAACATGATAGATTGGGTTCACTCTGGTGAGGGAGACCTGAAGGTCGGGTCATCATTGTATACAGTTTTTATGTCAGTTGGCTAAGCTACTTGGATAGTACCTAATTCCATACACACTAGTAAAACATAGGCAGTTACTTAGAATTTATTTGTTAGCAATTCAGTAACACAGGATACTCACATGAACGATTGTTGTATAGAGACTTAAGATACAACCACTAGCATGCAGATGATATCTGTAAACAAGGGAAATAACTTGTAAACAAAAGAGAATTTTGCAAAAACATTGAATAAATTATGGTATTTTTATCAGTGAGGATAGTTATGTTAACAGCATTATAGTCAGATGTCCCTATCTAAAATCATCATTTGAGTTTGATAAATTATAATTACAACTTTTTGTTTCAACTAAATTACTTTACAGACCTTTACCTTATTAGAAGTTTCTTCTAATCAGTAAGTAGCAGAATAACTGATTGCTCCTGAAACAATATAAAGATAACAAATTAAAGCTAGATCTTTTGAGAGTTGTTTCAAATTTCTGTAATAATTTTGTCAGATAGGAGCGAAAGACATGAAGTGTTGTACATCAAAGTGTTCAGATGAACTATGAAGTCATCATTTAGATTTATTTGGCTAATTGAATAAATTTCTTAATATTTTGCTTCTGTTATAAGAAAAGGAATTAAAGAGGGGCTTACCTTGCTTTTCTTGTGAGTCATTAACCTGAGGATGGGGTGGCCTGATGATAATCTGTGAATTGAAATAACTATATTAGTATTCAGCTATAATTCTAGTATGACTGGAATTAAGAAAGCATACAGTCAGATAGGAGCGAAAGACATGAATGTGTTGTACATCAAAGTGTTCAGATGAACTATGAAGTCATCATTTCAAGATATTTTCTTATACAATCTTTAATTTATAAATAAAGCACTAATGACAATTCCATAAACAGATTATTAGCATTACCAAATTATTAAGTCATATGATATCTGTTTATGATACAACGAAATAGCTAACTTACCTAGATTGTCTAAAAAGTCTACCGGAACAAGCAGCTGTTGTTCTAGGATGATGAATCAAATCTGTAGAATGATAATGTTACATTAATTTCAAGTTGTAAGTAGAAGGAATCTGACATAGAAGTTGCTTGGTCAGATAGGAGCGAAAGACAAATGTGTTGTACATCAAAGAGTTCAGATGAACTATGAAGTCATCATTTAAAATTTCATTATTAGCACTTTGTAATTTTAATAATCATTAACTATCATACATTGCAATTCTTTTATATTATTCTAATTCTTCCAAAAGGCCAGCAGATCAATGATATAAAAAAGAATATATTAAAAGAAATTAATGTTTTACTCACCATTATGGGACACCATCTTAGGATACATTTCAATCATACCTGTTGACAATTACAAGTAATAAGTTAATCAAATCAAATCAAATCAAAATCATTTATTCCAAATAAACCATAAATAGGTACTTTTGAAACGTCAAAATAGAATAGTAGTCTGTCAGTCTGTTCGTCAGTGAAGCTAGGTGCTCGTTCCAAATTGTAGTTTCGAATGGAGAAGAACGAGCAAGAAACTCCATCGTTACTCTTTTAAAAAAAATATTTGTTTTACAATTCATCAATAATACATTTTTTATACATTACTGTACCCCTATGTGAGAACAATGCAGAGACACGTTGTTAATAAAAAGGAACAAATTATGGTCTATTTAATCTATCATTAAAATTTTTAATCCTTTGTTGTCTCGTACATGGCGCTCACATATGCGTACTCACAATCCAAGAGAATGCTTCTATATAAACTCATTCAAGGTTTCATTAATTTTGAGAATTTTAATAACTACTGACTACATATTTGAGAATTGTCCAGTGGAGCCGAACCAACATGCTGCCAGGCATTCTTATCCTCAATATAATCTGAAAGTTTGTAGTATGCCTGTCTACATAATTCGCGTTTAATATAAGTTTTAAATTTTCGTTCGTTAAGATTCAATACAGTACTTGGAATTTTATTGTAACAATTTACACAGAACCCCATAAAGGATTTCTGTACTTTGGACAGACGGAATCGTGGCACAGCCAGCCTATCTTTGCCTCTAGTATTAAAATTGTGTCTATCGCTTCTTTTTTCAAATAATTGCAAATTTTTCCTTACGTACATAATATTTTCATATATAAATTGACAAGGTACCGTTAGGATATTTATCGTTTTAAATAGTTCTCTCAGAGATTCACGAGGGGACAAGTTATATATCGCTCGGATAGCCCGCTTTTGCAAAATAAATATTGAATCTACTTCCGCAGCTCGACCCCATAGCAAAATTCCGTACGACATAATGCTGTGAAAATAGCTAAAATAAACAAGCCTTGCTGTGTTCACGTCTGTGAGCTGTCTAATCTGTCTAACTGCAAAAACAGCTGAGCTCAGTCTTCCCGAAAGCGTCTTTATGTGGGAACCCCATTGAAGTTTATTGTCTAGCGTAATACCTAGGAACATAGTCTCGTTAACAAATTCTAACTTTTGCCCATTTAAAATTATGTCACAATCATTATTGTGTACGTTGGGCAAGCTAAATTTAATACATTTTGTTTTTTTCTCGTTAAGTGCTAAATTATTGACTGTAAACCAATTATGAACTCGATGAATGGAGCTGTTTACTTCGTCCAAATTATTAACACGTCGACCTATTCTAAAAATTAATGATGTATCATCTGCAAACAGCACCATTCTTGGCTCGGTTTTAAATAGAAATGGCAAGTCATTAACATACACTAAGAAGAGAAACGGACCCAAAATTGAACCTTGCGGTACGCCAATTTTTATCTCAGAGCCCCGTGAGTTAGAACCACCTACATGAACTCTCAGCTGCCTATCCTCTAAATATGACTTTAGTAGACGGAGTGCAGTATGTCTAATCCCGTAATGATCTAATTTCAGCAAGAGTGTTTCATGATCAACGCAATCGAACGCCTTTGAGAGGTCGCAAAAGACACCAACAGCATCCTGTGCTTCCTCCCAAGCACCGAATACCTCCTTTATCAAAGTGACACCGGCGTCAGTTGTACAACGACCTTTAGTGAAACCGTATTGTTGGTGATGGAAGATGGCATGTTTATCAAAGTGATGAAGCATCCGAGATAGCATTAACTTTTCAAACACTTTGCTAAGGACCGGTAGAACATAATATGGTGAGAAAATAATATGCAAATAAAATAGTAAAAGTAATGATTCAGAATGCTTATAAAGCTTTTGTTTATGCATCAGACCTCGCAACAGGCAGCCCTATTCTACAATTTCGACAAAAAAAAACAAGCTAGTGAAAAGTACTAGCTATTTAATTGATCATTTACTATAATAAATAAAGTCCAAAAAGATTCCCTAAGCTGAAAAAGCCCATTGCAAGGCAACTGAAGGTTTTCAGCTGCACTGCGATGTCATCATTTATTAGAAGGGATGGGACAGTTGTTAGGTTAGGCTGGAAGATCCTAACAAATGGTTGCGCAAAGCAATAGACTACACCATAGCAGACATATTGAGACACAGTAGAAAACACATTATGTCTGACTCAAGCAAAGGGTTGTGTCCTGTGGCTCATTCAGATCAAATAAATTTAATATCCAATTATGTAAAAACACAAAACAGGATCGATAGATCACAACTATGGTGTAGCAATTCTTTGCTAGAGTTAAACATTTTATTAAAAAACACTTACCACTTCAATTTCCTTAGGAGTTTCATGGCTGCTGGCACATGTTTCAACCTAGAATAACAAAAGATCTCTTTAAAGAAATAGCCTTCAGCTAAATTGAAATATCTACTGACATTGTATTGTAGTCAGCTAGAGCTAATATACATGCAAGATCATCGTTTTTCAATGGTTAGCACTTATCATCATATAAGAGGAAATTTAAAATAACTATATCAATCAGGTTCTTCTTGCTCTTATTCTTTATGATGTCAGTTGAATTCATTAAGATTATATGTTACAATAAAATTTTACCTTCGACAGGTTTCCTGTATTTTCCTTGCACGAAAATGCGAGGCACATCAATTCCCTCTTTGAAGTTGACAGTCCGGCGTTGCACATAAGTGTTCATGAGAATTTGAAACCCAGCTTCCGTGAATACCTTCTGCAGTTCTTCCTCCGTGAAGTAGTAGCTCCTGTAAATTAATAAAATGTTGTAAATACTTATTCAAGCTAAGTAAAGAAACATGCGGTGTAAAGTAATGATAAGCACCTGGTCCCATCTTGCCTCATGTAGAAATTATCAGCGATCTTGTGTCCTGGTTTGAATCTGAGCTGTGCCATATCATACCGACCGTAGTCGCGAAATAGTAATACGCCCCCGGGACGAAGGGCCCGGTAGGCGACTTTAGCTACTTGCGACCACGAGTCAGGGTGGATTGCAGATAAAACAAATATCAAACTAGCTATATCCACACAGGCTTCTTCCATGTTCTCAAATAAATCATCAGTGGTTAGATCGGCGCAAAACGCTTTCATTCGGCTCTCATCATACAATTTATTGGCTTTTACAAACTCCACAGCACGTGGCGAAAAATCACACGCATAGAAATGGAAATTAGTAAAGCCTTCCTCGACCAGCGGGAATATCATATTACCCACGCCACATCCGAGTTCTAGAAAAGTGATCTTATCACCCGGCTCGAAGTTTATAAGCTCTTGAAACTCACGTGTTGTCCAATGCCGGTCCTTGAAGAATTTGGTTTCATTTCTCTTGTAGAATATGTCCCAATGACGCTTAGCTTCTTTCTCTAAACGTGCAGCTTTAGCTTCTGGTATAATACGTGAATTTTGCGCTTCCAAGCGTTGTTTTTCTTCGTCAGTTAGTATCTTCAAGCGGTGAATGAAAATATCGCCGTTTTCTCCAACATGCTGAGACTCATCGATATCCATCTTGCAGTCTACTGACTTTTTTACGTATATTTCGATTCCATACAGATATTATAAGTCTTATTATTCACGATTAAGTTATATTTCATTTCATTTATCTATTAAAGATATTTCAAAAATATGTTACGATACGAGTAGTAGGTACGACTGCCATGTAACGTGAATGAAGAAGAAGTCAAGAAGAATGAATGAACTGCCTGTCGCAGTACGAACGTAAAATACAATGACATGTGACATTCTATAATTTTGACATTCACACAGTAGATGAAGGGACCAAAGCCAAATAGAATAATTTTAAGCAATGTTGCTAGAAATGACCTTTCTATACTACTATTAACCAGCCGCACGGCTTTAATCAGTCAATTAAAAAAAACGAAGGATTAATATGTCGGTTAGTATAAATTTATTTCTCATAATGTGTTTTTTTAAGTCTTATAATGGAAATCTATCTGTCAGGGTCATTTTAAAAGAGATGGCAACAACGATGAGTCCTAACGATAAAATTGTATTGAATTTTTTTTTCTACTACATGTCTTATGTATTGTAAACGACGAAAGTCTGGTTATGGTCATGAAAAATATAAAAGGCACGTTAATTGAACTAAGAGTTGTAATTCTGGACACGTTCTGAACTTAGACCATAGACAAGTAATTCCTTCCCTAGACCCATGGAGCAATTACAATAAATAATAATAATTGTAAATCTACTTTTCTGGAGCCTTATTTTTCTGTCGTTTTCTGTACTCTAAGCTTAAAAAACGACAGAAAAATTAATTCCTGTATGTAATTTCAATTTGACAGCAAATTGAATGAATGAAAAAGAGGAGTCAGAAAAGCGGTGAATTAAAAAAAAAACATGTATTCTTTTTATTTTCCTTGACCAATTACAAAATCAAAGACTTTATAAACTCGGTACCTAAGTTGCAAAGTATAAAAACTTAATTTATTCAACCCCCAGGTTTAAGTTTCGATTGCTAGAATCTAATAAAACTTGGTGTTACCAGACTTACTAGAAACACGAAACATATTTTTTTGCTAAGTTTTAGTTTTATTATTAACTTCCATTTAATTAAGAAGCATTTTTACGACCAATTACGATTATGGGATAAATATATAGTAAGTAGGTATCTGGAATAAAATGAGTGATCGACCTTTTTTGTCTGATATCTGAAGTTGACCCTCAATGATTCAAACACCTTAAAATCGTTTATAATCTTATGTTCAATTTAAACTTTATTGATTACAACAATTACCTGTGATAATACCACTATACTAAACTCGGTTATAGCGATTACGCGAAGGTCAATTGTTATCACAAGAGACGTCAATTCGCAATCGATTTCGATTGTCATCTGTGTATCATGATCTACACGCATGAATCTTGAATGCGTTAGGTGCTAGCATACCACGCTTCGATGCGGGCTACAGCGACGAGTGTCCCTTATCTAGGACAAATAATTTAAATCGTCAATTGAACGTAAATTATTTTACGAGTAGATAAGTTTTGTCCGACCTAGTCTTTCTTGTATCTTGTCTTTTATTCCCTGGAGAAGATAACTACATCTATAGAGAAAACAAGCAACACTGCACTGATTAGGTACTTATTATTCCATGGTAGATATTTAAATCAAAATCAATTTACTTATAGGGCTGTCTAATAGACTAGGCATAATATTCAAATAGGTAACGAAATTAACCGAAGGTTCTAGAATTCATAGTTTTTTTTTATGGTGGGAGCTGACAGCTGACGGAAGTCAAGGGTTCTACTGGGTTAACTACGATAATTCAATACAAACGTCCGTTATTTTATCAAGCTACATATATTTCGTTGGATACCTAGTTCACTTCACTGTATGGGCAAGAAGCAAGAGTTATGGCAATACAAATAAATTATACCTAATATAAGTTAGTAAGTGTAATTGTGTAATTTTCACGGCAAACAATCAGACGAATTATCTGATGGTAAGCAATTATCACAGCCCATGGACACTCGCAACAACGAAAGAGTTACGAGCGCGTTGCTGACCTTTTTGGGATTAGGATATTGGGGATTTAGGGATTGGGCCTCCGGTAACCTTACTCATACTCATAGTGGTATCACTACATTCGAGCTGACCTATTCGTGCCGAATCATGGCTTTCCCAAACTCTCCTATGCGTTTTAGGAAAGCTTTTTGAAATAAAAATTCAAGTCGGATACAAAAATTTATAGGTAGATACCTAATTCATAAATGTCAGAGATGGATATTGCAAGAAAGTTGTGTATTTACGATAAGATTGCTTTGTACCGATAACTGCATATCTTTGTCACACTACAAAGTTGAAGTGAACGACAAAATGTAGGTATAGGTTACCTACTTTTGAAGATAAAATTACTTTTGAAGGTAAATATTAATATTAAACGCAATTTTTGATCAAACTGCACACAAGAATATACACAAGGTAAAAAAGCTTGTTCTTAAGTGGGTATTTGCCCCCATGGGTTTTTCAATATATTTAAACCTTGTACCTGCCCCTATTTTTTATTTTCTTTTCGGGAGGTAGAGGAAAATCTTTAAGTGTGGGAGAGCTATGCTTCAGCACGAATGGGTCGGCTCGACCGGAGTGATACCACGGCCTCACAGAAAACCGGCGAGAAACAACGCTGTGTTTCGCCGTGTGAGTGAGGTTACCGGAGCCCCAATCCTTCCCCTACCCCACCAATCCCTAAATCTCCAAATCCCCAATCCCCAAAAGGAAGGCAACGCACTCGTAACTGCTCTGTTGTTGCGGGTTTCCATGGGCGGCGTAGATTGCTTACCACTAGGTAGGTAATCCGTATGCTCGTTTGATGACATATCACAAAAAAAAATAACCACAATACCTACTTATTTTAACTTTTGTGTTTAGTGATGAAGTACCTAAGTGGTTTTTTTATCTGGATATTTCCTTCATGTTTTTTAAGTTGAAATACTAGCGTGTGTGGACAGTACCTATGTCTAAAATTTTGTAATAAAAATACCCATTTTCATGACCAGATTTTGTCAACATCGTTTTTTACCAGAACAGTCGACGACAAAGGGCTAGCGGGAGTCAGCCGGATAGCGGCCACTGAATATTTATCAATCATAGTCTGCTGCCGAGATTTCATTATCATCAATTGAATGCTTTATTGGTTACGTCGCCTAAGTATCTGATAGTAGAAAGACATTATTGCTTTCAAAACCAGTGTTAGTCAAAAATCTACCCTTTTAATGGATTCACGTTACAAAGGTCTGAAAATGTGCTTACTTTACTGTGACGCGGCACGAATTATAACAAAAGAATTGTCTTTGTGAGGAAACTAGAACATGACTATAACATTTTGGTTTTATAAATATACCTACCTATCCGTTGTTTTTTTTCGGGAGGTGGAGGGAAACCTGTATAAGGAGTCTAGGTTTTGGGAAGAAAGACTTTCCTTATTTCTGTATCTACAAAATATGTCATATAAGTGTGGGAGAGCCATGCTTCGGCACGAATGGGTCGGCTCGGCTGGAGTGATGCCACGGCCTCACAGAAAACCACAACGTTGTGTTTCGCCGTGTGTGAGAGGTTACCGGAGGCCCAATCCTTCCCCTACCCCAATCCCTTCCCAATCTCAAAATCCCCAAAATCCAATTCCTCAAAAGGTCGGCAACGCACTCGTAACTCCTTCTTTGTTGCGGGTGTCCATGGGCGACGCCGATTGCTTACCATCAGGTAATCCGCCTGCTCGTTTGCCGTTCTATCGCACAAAAAAAAAATAACTTTATGTTCTAAGTAGAAACTTTGGTGTCTCTGTCTACCCCTCAGAAAAAAAAGAAGAAGAATATTATATTTTTATTATACACATTTTGGTACATAGGTGTTACATTGGTTATGTTCTGTATGTTTCGATGTAGCATCGGCATACAAATAATATAAATAGAAAAGGTATTAAACACGTTAAACGCCATGGGGGTCACCGGTGACCTCAATTAGCGGAGGATTTGCCTTCAACAGTTTTCTGTCGGCAGTCAGAGGCTTAACAAATCTTAGGTTCTAGGCCTATAAAACATTCTTATAAAACTTGTATTTCGATGTCACTAAGTACACACGAGGTTGTTATACCTATTTGTAAATGTATGCGTGTGTTTATGACATGTATCCAGCGATGTTGTATCAACATTACTCGTCTCGGCAGCTCGTTAAACAAACGTAAAACAGCGTTTAATTAGTCCCAACAGCTGACAGACATCAACATCTACTTGTATACAGTTATAGATTCACTTTGAAGATGAACATTTACAGTAGACTCTTTAAACATCTTATAAGCACTATTTCCGACCACTTTATTGTTTTAGGAAAAGTGGTTCTAATTTTGTTAGGATTCCAAAAAAGTTAGGTTTTCTTAGTCAAAATGAAATTGATTTTGTGAGGGGAAAATCATCAAATGACTTCTCCCGCCCAGGGTCGGGCGGGAGGGAGTGTCAGACTCTTACTGACTAAAAACCCCCCTGTGTTTCATTGCGCTTACCCTGCAACTTATAATAGTTGAAAGATGAAGAGTTACCACAGGAACAATTGGTTCGCATTGAAAAAAACTGTGTTAAACAGTAAATTTATTAAATTGGGTTAATTGATATCGCGCTTTTTAATTAAGTACGGTATTTAGATTTTGGGGAGCGCAAATCATCAAATCACGTCTCCCGCCCTGATATTAGGGGCGAGATGGAGTATTAGGTTCTTATTGACTTATAAAATATGGGCATAATTAATAATATAATGAAATATGAAAAACCCCATTTATTTATGTAGGTACATATGTTGATAAATACACATCCTTGTAGTACCAACAAGGTCCAATAATCATGTCAGTTTTAAATGTTATTTACCTCATTTCAATGAAATCGTTAGCAGAGAGTGTATACCTTTACAAGTGCGTAGGTACGTGCATTTGTTTTGTGTTATCATAATTACTGCGTTATTTGAGCTCATTAGTCTTCCGCCGTACTTACGAGATACTTCTAACCAGAGATGGATTAAAACTGGTGACCGCCTTTTGTAAGCACTTCAAATATATTTTTCTGCGGTTCTTATTCTATTCATCTATGAATGCACCTCGCGTGTCTATGGGCAGGCGCGACCCCTGGCGCCCTTTCATAATCTGGCGCCCGGGGATAATGCGGCTCTGTAT